ATTACTACTCTTGGTGTTAATAAGGGAGACGATGATAATGGTATCCCTCCTATTTTCATTCGACACTGGGAGTTTATCATATCCCGACCTCTACATGCTATTTAATAAATGAGTAAGAACTGGTTTTTTCCGATTTGTTCGAAATCCAGCTTAATTATGATTATTTCAAGATACGACCATCAAGAAACACCATGTCCAAGATTTAAAAAAAAATATAATTGAAAAATTGTTATTTAGAGCAAAACCATATATTGGATGTATACAATTGTTATCAAGCAGACTTCATGGAATTTGGTACTTTCTTTTTCACCGCCCTTGATGATTGAAAGTCGATCATTTTTTTGATAACAAATTAGTTAATTTTAACTTTCATAGAATTATTTTAGCATGCCTACATCGAAAGAATTAAAGATGATATATGTAAAAATATTAAAGTAGCATATCTGGCGTTTTGAGAGCCTCACATTTAGAGCCATCACTTTTCATAACTGTTATCAATGACCCTGTTGATAATCTAACCAATGTTGAACATCTATTTTATGCGAGTGATCTCGAACTATTTCGTAAAGTTAACGGAACCGCGGAAGCTGATATGCTCGAAACCAGTCTTGTCCAACTGAAATGATCTCACGGGTCAATTTCTATAATAAAAAAGTTTGCAAGAGCGTCATACAGGGTGTTCGGCCACTCCTGGGAAAAATTTTAATGGGAGATTCTAGAGGCCAAAATGAGACGAAAATCAGGAATACTAATTTGTTGATGGAGGCTTCGTTAAAAAGTTATTAACAATTAAATTCAAAAATTTCAAATCGTTCTGGAAAAATTATTTTCGGTTGCGGGGGTCAATTACAATTATTTTTGGTGAATAGATATACCTCCGAAATCCTACCCATTTTCTAGAAAAAAATTCGAGAAGGTGTGAAATTTTTCGATGGGAAAAAAAAAATTTCAAATCGTTTTGGAAAAATTATTTTCGGTTGTGGGGATCAATTACAATCATTTTTGGCCATTACACATAACCTCGAAATCCTACGCATTTTCGAGAAAAAAATTCAATACGGGCGGAACATTAAACGTTAATAACTTTTTAACGAAGACTCCATCAACAAATTGGTATTCTTGATTTTCGTCTTATTTTGGCCTCTAGAATCCCCCATTAAAATTTTTCCCTGGGTTGGCCGAACACCCTGTACATCAAAAAGGAGTCAGGGTTTTTTCACGGAGACGTTTTTTTTGTGGTTGAGAATTTACGAAAGATTCAAATAATATGTTCTAATAACATATTGGGTTACATAATAAGCCCGTGAGGTTTTCTGTGAATGCGTTTGATTTTGGCTATTTGGAGCTCTTCAAATGCGTTCCTGAGAAATATTTCCCGATCCTATTCTTATCGTAAATGAAATAACACAAAAAAAAAGAAATTGTTGAAGGTAACCTTTCGATGATCTTGGGTATTGTCTTACGTTCTAACTTCACCTAATATCATTGTCTTTAAACAGTATCACGCATATTGTTTAAAAGAACACAATGCATATAAACAAACTGAAGAAGTTACATTATTCAAACGTTCATTTCATTGTTAAAATCCATTTGCATATTAAACGAATTGTTTCTTTGTTTTAAATTTATTCAAGCGCGATGTGAACGAGCATACAAGTATCTAACCTATAAACAATGCTTTATCCCCCTGATAATTTTTCAGATAGCAACTCTTATGTTTCATAGGAGTTTCATATTGAAATATGATTTTGCAGAAACCTAAATGATCTTCGATTTTTATTCATCGAAGATAAATTCGACTTCACCCGCCATGATTGACTTAGGGGTCAGTGACCACGCTATAAACATGTACCAATTACCAGGGTGTCGCTGAAAGGGTTCACAATGTTCGATCAATTCCACCCAGTATTACAGTGATCACGGCTATCGTTAACGTAGGGAATTAAAAAGAATTATAGCTACAAAAATAGACGATATTCTTTTATTTACGAAAATTATAATAAATCATTTTCATCGGAATTGTTAACGCCTACTATGTTGCAAAGTAAAAAATAAAGAAGTTTACGATTTCGTTTATTAAATTAACAATATTTTATTTGCTGATGATAAATTAAACGAACAACAAAAATTTTATACCACGACACAAATATTTTCGTTACGCTTCAAATAAAATACTTTGAAGAATTTCTCTTAACGCGTATCGTCTAAAATAAAACGTTCATTTAATATTTACTAATTAAAATAGTACATTTTACCCAGCTCTGGCGCCAACTTACAGACACGTGCTCTCCGTCGGTCAAGCAGAGAGATAAGTTCTCATGGCGTAAGAATAGGGATCGAGTCTGGCGTGATTCGCAATTGAGAAACTGGTCAGTTGATCTCGGACCAACTGTGACCAGCTCCACCACGCTCGCATATTTCCCCGTTTCGTCTCTTTTATTATTTTACATCCGCGATAAAAAGAAACTTTATTAATGCTCGGCGAAAATATTCGTTATTAGGTTATTATAACCTAACTCAAACGCGAATGTTATACAATTTTCGAAACGTGCAACGTGTAAATATCGACGGTTAATTTATGTAAGAGCATTATATTACGCTCTTGCAGCAAGCAGTTTGACGAGTGGGTGGTACAAGTGTTAACCTTCGATGCTAATTACTCGAGACGGAGAGAACTTGTGGGTTTTTAAATTCGTTTTCCTATCGGATTATCAGCGACGCGACACTGAACGATAAAAGTTAGAGGACCTTCGACATTATCTCCTTCGTTTACAACGTGTAATCAAACGAACTTCTACCTATCGTGTTTCGTGCAGAGAATCTACGTTAAAGTTCAACGCATTATTATTAACTCATAGCGATCCTACGTCGAGCTGTAACCCTGGACACCGTATTTCTTTCCCAATTGATCCCACGTGGACGCTATTATATCTATCTTCTTTTAATAATATTGCGATTCTATGCATAATGTTTTCATTTGTATTCGTACGAATTCAATGCCTTAGACTGTATGTATATGCAGATGGAAGGTCGGTCAAGTGCTTGTGAGAGGAACGGTCCCTCTGACGGCGAGTTCGGGAAGCGATAAGCCCCACAAGTCATTTAAAGTTCGTAATATTCGAGTCAAAAATCAGAAAGTATGGAGGGCTTAAGAAATAGTAAGGATACTATCAAAAAAAGTGAAATTCACAACTAACTTTTGAGTAAATTGGGTTTTCATTATTAAAATAAGGAAATGTTGGTAGCTAATTTTAATTTCTATCCCCTTTTACGAGTACCTGTAGAGCGTCGAGATCGCCTATTCGTTCGTTTCGCCGTGAACGTTACGTAACGCCATTCTTCCGTTCCGTTCTTTTTCTGTTTAATCTGCACAGCAGAATCGCGCTTGCAATTAAGTAAACAGATAACGCTCCGTTCGTTTTAGTTCATCGTCCTGACCTTGCGTAATTTCAGGAGTTCGATCGGGTGTTCCAGACGACGTAAATGATCGCGCAAATCACGAGATTCTCCCTAGTACCGATGACGTCAACCGGTAACGAGGGCTTGGGTCATTAATGTTCTAATGACGAGATCAACCGCGAGATATTTTCCTTTGATTAGCCCCTTCCACATATTACGAGATAAACGTTCGAGAACGGAATTCCAATAGCTGGTAACTAAGCGTTTTCGATTGATCGTCGCGCGTACAACGTTCATCCCTTACAATTTCCTTCGTTTTGTCTTTTAATTTTAATACGAAACCTGCAATCCTCAACAGCAAACGCTGTAAAATAATGATCTAAACGAAGATACAACTAATTTTTCCAAGTATACCTAATACGTATTAATAAAGTATACATTTATGAAGCAATGGTTAGATACGACCAAATGCTGTTGTTAATTTCAGTTCAAAAAATTTACAACGATCCATTCCACACTCGTCGTTCGTCCAAGAAGTTGTCGAGTCTTTGTATCGCTTTGTCGCCCTCTACAATAGGTATTCTGTTCCGTCGTCGGTCGAATTCTACCTTCTGTTCGTAGCTTGTTAAATTGCACGCAATCGACCGCAGTTAGAACCTTTTCTGTAAATCATTTTGTCAGGCTTAACAGCGCCCGGAATCAGTGTTCATTGGCGTGGATGGAAGCACGTGCATCGTGGATGCTGTCTCGTTTCAGCTCATCGATGCGTGCGAATAAAAGGTCGATAGGAACGTTGAAACTACGAAAAAAAGCACGATAGAATAATTCGACGAACACGTGCCGCGGGAACAACGTAAACGTCACGCTTTATCGCCTCGTTGGGATCCTGAAATCATCGGTAGATCTAGCATTTCCGGATATCCAAACCTCAAAAGCAAATTTAATTTTCCTATTAATTGTTGCAGAAAAAAATATTTCGCACAATACGACGATGGAATTGGATAAGATACTATATTTTACAAATGATTTGTACACAAATGGTACTTTTAAAACAACGTGTATGTAAAACGTCTACTTATGTAGTCGTCTGTGTAAAATATTTGGTATTACAACTCGGTAATTTAGAGATACGAGCAATTAAAGTTACATACCTTGTAATATACAAAGTGATTTTAGAAACAGAAACAAATTAGTGAAAGAGAAAGTAGAATGCCGAAACTATATTTTAAACTATATTTTGATGACACAATTTTTGTTTACGAAACGGTTTTAAATGAAACTGTTATAAAATATTACGTAAGAGTGTGCAATTTTTTGTTTTAAATATGGATTCAAATCGTATTTAAATTTTGTGTTTCTTTACTTTTGAATGGCACCTATTTTATTCCAGGATTTGTTGCTAAATTAGTTACGTTCTATGGAAATATTCAGGCGAGTTACTTTCCCGGAAGAAGCGAGAAGTAAAAAGCGTGACTGCACTTCTTTTTTTGCAAATAGGTATATATAGTTAGGGATTTTGTACAAAATTAAGAATTTATCTACGTAACTCGCACTTTGTTCTGTGAAACAACGTTTATCTAGGTCTGAGTCAATGTTCAGGGATTTTGCTTCTCAATACAGAGAAAAACAGAGAATTTTTCACAAAAGAAAAATTCGCAAGACAAGAAAATTGTTTATAATTCCCAGAATATTAATTTTTCAGCACTGAACCGTTCTTTTTTTTTTAAATATCCTGTATATCGCGTACGAAGCAATCTGTTACTGGGCTAGTTAAAATTATTAGTATGCAGTTCACGTTTAAGGCATACATACATATATGTATGCACATGCACGAAGCCCATCGGCACGAGCAGCGAAATGCTCATTTTTTTAGGTTAAAGAACGAAAAATAGGCGAAATTATCATCTCCTATTAAAATCCCATAAAATCTAATCTTGATAAACACAACGAAACGTGAAAATTTGTGCCCGTTACAACCGAAATGGAGCAACTCCGCTTTCTACAAATTTCTCAATTATATCTAAATTCTTTGAATGCTTTCGCGTCGACGATTTTCCGTAGACAAGAAATTCCCCTCGACTTTCAATTTTTCGTTGCGAGTTCCTGCGTCCTCCTTAGCCCTTTGGCAACCCGTGGAACGATCACGAGCAGCGTGGGTGTTAACCCCGTCACGTTGGAGAGGCGGCCCCGACACGTCCCCCTCCCGGAAAACGAGATCAGAGTTGGCCTGATAAATTCCAACGCGAGATCGTGTGCAACGCCGACAGCACAGTAGCTCGAGATGCGATAGATAGCCCGGTCGGTAATTAGCGGTTGCTGATTGGTCACCTTCCTCCTCGGCATATCCGAGCCAGCTGAGGATGAGGGAGCGTATAAACATGTCGCGTGGGCTCGTGGTGGGGGCTTATTTACTCGCTGTTCAGACCATGCTGGGTTGGCCGATCGTCGACGTAACGACGAACGCCAGTCCGCGACTGACACTCGCTATGATCGCATGGTGTCGCTGCGAACGGTGTCTATATACAGTTTTTCTTCGTCGTTCGCGTATCAACGTCGAACTAGTGCTGACAGTGTTTCCATCGTTCGCAGTCTCCTCGCGATCGAGCGCCTCCACCTAATTGTGCAGATCGTTTTCGCATTATCGAAATTAATTACCGGGAACTTGATTTGGTATCGGTGATTCGTCAACGCGAGGAGCATCGTATGCCGAGGTTACGAAGTGACACGCGTTTCGATGGCTCGCGAACACGTGGACCGGCCAGTCTGACATGGAACATTGCCCGATGGACTGTCCGGAGCCGAGGAACCAAGTGAAAGCGCGCGGATCGATAGCTGCAATCGTTGAGGATCTTCGATCGGCGCGCGTAACTCGTTGAGAAAAGGAGAGATCTCATCGGGCCAACGGTCCTCAGGGACCTGATGGCACCCGACCTCGAGAAAAGGCGGCAGGAACTCAGGAGGACCAACAGCGGTACATTGGAACAGGGACACGAACACTTTCAGATGCTCCTGCAGCTCCACTGCGCCGGAAATGCGCTGATCGAGCCCTATCGACACGGTAAACTCGATTTGCCTTTCGCGGTCGATTCTTAGCTGTTCAATGCAGCGAGTCATCGAGTTACGCGGTTGTGCTCCCGCTTGTGTGTTATACGGTACTGTCTCACTTCGTGCAATCGAATCGGGACCGCCAGATTTCACGAGCAGAGGTACGGAACGAGACTTTGTTCTCGTAACTAATTGAACACGAACGAGCCGCTGCAACGAGTTTTTAATTACACAGCTGCTGGCAATGCGAGTCGACGATCGTGCACCTAAGAAACGTAAACAGTGGTGGGGATCGGGTGGGTGGCGATTCAGTCACAAGTATCCGTAATGCAGATTGTTGCAAGAAGCGAGGCATTACTATACGTGGTTCCGTACATTAATTTCTCGCGTATTAGATTTCATTTTAGCACGGGAATAATGAAATTGAATCGTTCCGGCTACTGTTTACGTTCCTTCAGCTCGAACGGCCGTCAGCTGTGAAAATAAAATCAGCTGACCGAGCTTCAAAGAACTGCCACGCGTCCATCGGCGCGGCAATCGCTAACTAAACTGAGAACTTTTATATATTTTGATATTTCGATATTCGATAGCAATATTGCAACGTCAGAGACTCTTCTAATGGATAAATAAAAAGTTTGATGGAGTGATTTTGAGGAACTATTTTTGATCTAATAAACTCTGACTTTAGAGTGTTTAAATCAAATGTTGTAGCAGTGAATTAACGATCTTCTCAGTGGTTATCTGGTGGCGAACGTATGAAATTGAAACTTTTATATTTTTCATTGTATCGTTATAAGAATATCATCGACAAATTGGCGAGTACTATTTTTCATTTATACGTAGTCAATAATTTTTCAGAAATAATTCGAATTAACTATAAAAATGAAATTGTAATTTTCTCATTAATATTGACGCGTCGATACGCGGTATCACTTTGAAGCTTCGATCAGTTGCGAAAAGAAATTCTTTACGGACCCTCGGTTTAAGAAAACTGGCAATCCTGGCTTTCTATCTTTAAGCAAGAAATTGTTGTATACGTGTAAGTATACATGCACCAAATATACTGTTCCTTTTTTCGATTTCGTTTTCATAAACGAGTGTATACAGATCTGTTTATGTTTCACTTTCGAGAGCAGAATTGTATAAGAGGCGTATTGCTATATCCGCGACTAAACAAAAATTAATCGACGCTGTTTTTAACTTTATTTTTTCTCTCTCCAAGGTTTGGAACGAATTAAACAAATCGCCACTATTTTGAGTAATTTTGCCCACCTGCCTTTATATGCGGTATTCTTTCTGCGATAGTTGCACTGGCATAAATCATTCTTTTACACGTAAAATTTTGTTGCTTACTTTTATGACGAGAACGAACTTTCATTATTGACAAAATACTAAAATGCGAATAAAATCATATTGCTTAAAGTAATCGAAGAATCGGATCCTGTAACGAATCAAGTGATATAGGCTCTCCGATTGTTTGAACGATTCTGTCATGTTTTATTCGCCGCGTTTCTACGTATTTTCGAATTCGTGTGACGCGCGCTCGTTCGTTGATTTTTAATGGTTTTAATAGACATCTGCGTATTATATTATCGCCCGTGGTTGGTAGATTTAAAAGTATTATCTTCGTAAAATTTTACGAGCATAGATCGAGGTACCAGGGATTTACAGTTTGTGTGTAACCGGGATGATTAATTGGCGGAATTAGAAAAATTATGACAAGTTCTGTGGTACAGGCGAGGTCCTAGATTAAATGATAACAGGTTTCGCGTTTTCATTTTTCGATTCTCTGTCCTTAATAAATGCGCTTTCTTAGACGATATTCCAGGCTGTTTATGTTCTTATCGATGGGAACGATCATGGTTTCTTTTTTATGTTTATCTTAAGATACGATTACATTGTTACAAATTTACCAAGGATTATTCAAATGTGAAAATTTTATTCGTTTCAAAAGTGTTCACTTTATTTAGCATCGCATTTTTTCCATATCTAACGATAAAAGAGAAGCTTCCATTATTCTGCATAATATGGATATTTTATTAATAATTTTTTACTGTGTCTCATACAGAGTTTAAAATAATTGAAGGATGACTCAACCAAGGCAGTTCATTGTTCTGTTAGATAACTACAAATTTAAAAATCTGCAACGTACAATACTTATTAGTCATTGCTAATTAAGTCTACAGTATTTAGTTCACTCTTTGTTAAAGATATTACTGCAATAAATGCGTAATATTTTGAAACATTTCTATACAGGCTGTCCGGCCAACCCTGGCAAAAATTTTAATGAGGGATTCTAGAGGCCAAAATAAGACGAAAATCAAGAATACCAATTTGTTGATGGAAGCTTCGTTAAAAAGTTATTAACAATTAAATTAAAAAATTTCAAATCGTTCTGGAAAAATTATTTTCGGTTGCGGGGGTCAATTACAATCATTTTTGGTCATTACAATTACCCCCGAATTCCTACGCACTTTCGAGAAAAAAATTCGAGAAGGTGTGAAATTTTTCGACGGAGAAAGAATTTTGCAATCGTTCTGGAAAAATTATTTTCGGGTGCGGGGGTCCATTACTATCATTTTTGGTCATTACAATTACCCCTGAAATCCCACGCACTTTCGAGAAAAAAATTCCTTACCGAAAATCTAATTAGGTGCCTTTTTTTGACGAAAAAAAAAATTTCAAATCGTTTTGGAAAAATTATTTTCGGTTGGGGGGGTCAATTACAATCATTTTTGGTGAATAGACATAACCCCGAAATCCTGCGCATTTTCGAGAAAAAAATTCAGTACGAGCGGAACTTGAAACGTTAATAACTTTTTAACAAAGCCTTCATCAACAAATTGGTATTCTTTATTTTCGGCTTATTTTGGCCTCTAGAATCTCCCATTAAAATTTTTGCCATAGGACTGTGTCTGTTTACAACTCTGCACTAATTAATTAATGATAGGATCAATTTTCATAAATTGCAATATGATATTTGTGTTCCATGTTCTTTGATTTTTCATGTTACTGGTACTAATCAAATTTTATTTTTCCAAAATATGTTTAACCGTAACTGGCATACAAGTTTATTAAAATTAACGTACTCTTGAAATCAGTGCAAAACAGGTTGCGTGTACTTTTGCGATTGACTGTACATTGGTTCCGTTTGAAAAAGGTTTAACATTTCGGATTATGTATTTCGAACTTCTTCAGAGATACTGATAAATTCGTGTACATTCAGTTCATAAGTTACTTTAAACATTGTAACATCGAAGCCACTACAATTTTGAATAAATATCCATAATTGAACGTCGCCACAAGATTGATAGATGTCATGGGTCAATATCGGTGTAACTATACATATATGGTCATTCATAACAAAACAAGTCGTCCCTCAAGAGGTTCAAAAAACTTTTCCAATTTATAATTCTAACAATAAAGGTTACATTTTCAGTGTTACAAATATGTGTTGCTGTATTATGAAAAATCTACAACGTTCAAATTTTACAAGCTCGCAGTTTGTATTGTATGGCTCATAATCGACTAAGAATAATTCAAGAGTCTCTAGTCGCGTGTAAACAAATTTATTTAATAAATAAAATATTTTTCATTTCAAAGTTGTTATTAAAAATAAAGAAAAAAAAATAGCAACAACAGCGGGAGAATTCGAACGTACTATCACCAGATTCGTAGCCAACCACCCTACCGACGTATCCACAACTCGTTCTGCTAAATTGTGTTAAATAATTCATCCAATACTGCGTAAAACACTTGAAATGAAAATATCTCGAAAACGAAGGCTCATTTTGAAGAAACCCGTTTGGATTTTTTGATACCACCGTTTCGAAAGCGATTTCCATTGTGGGGAACTTCCCTCGCGAGCTTAAAGCTCGCGTCTTGCGTACCGATATCGGACATTTGGACACATCGAGCTCAAAACGAGTCGATTCAGCTAAACGAATCTTATCTCGTAAACGTTAAATTCAAATGTTACGCCTCGAGCGCTTACGCGATCTGAACTCAAAGATTACACGTCGCGCGTTGAGCTTAACGATCGCGTCACGCGGGGCTCAAAACTTACGCGAAGCTACGTCGAGCGCGAGCTCAAATTTTACGTCGCACGCTTCGAATCGAAATCTGACGTTGCTCACATCGGGCTCGAAGTTCGCGGCTTATCTCGCGAGCATCGAGTTCAGAGTTCGAGGCTCGCGCTGCACACGTTCAGTTCAAAACTCGAAACTCGCGCACGTTCGAGCTCAAACTTTACCGATCCTCGCACCTTGCGTTCGAGGTCTGGGAATCGAACGACGAAGCTTGAAACTCCATGTCCCTCGCGTCGAAGTCAAAGTTCGATGCTTCGCTGATTCGCGAGCCTTCGTAAAACTCTTGTTAGAGTCCACGTTATTTTCCCGCGTCTATCTCCCGGTCAATATTATTGTTATTAATATCGCGGCGTGTTTTGTTGTCGAACACCCGGGAAATTGATGCATTCGCTTCCAGATAACCTTCGAGGATGCGGCATATACTCTCCGTTTCTTTTCTTCTCGTTCTCCTCTATCGGTCGCGACGATAAATCACACCCTGAACGCCCTCCCCCTCTGCCCCATTTGCCCTTGAAGCGCGCTTTTCTGCATTTTATCTTCGTTCCATCGCTCGTGACTCGTTCAGTTTTCCTGCGATTTTCTCACTGTCGTAAGTAAAAAAAAAAAAAGACTTTCGCGCGATCGTTTTCAAGGGCAATGTGAAAAAAAGGGAACTCGCTTCGGCGCGTAAATAAATCGCGATCGCTCGACTTCCCTCGGTTCTCGATCGTCCATCTTGCGTATGCGGTGAAAGTAAACGCGTCTCCCTGGTCGGTAATGCAGTTTCACCCGGATAACTGATCCCCGAATTCCGATTCATCGACTCTCGATCAATTCTTCGGCGAAGGTAACGATTTTATTCTAGAAATCGATCTAAATATATTGATAAGGAGTGGTACAGTGGCGTAATTATCAATTTTTATCGAGTTTTTAGTTAGCGATAGAG